AAATGGCATCCTAAGTGAAGAAGGAATCTGTGCAGGTGAGCTCTGTGAGTTGGAGAAGACAAGGCCAAATACCTTGACTTTCATACCTTTGAAGATGGTAGATTCCGGACAGGGCAGAACAGAACCAGTATAGATTCTCTAAGGAAAACCCTGATAAATTAACAAACAAAACATTGACTAGCTGTTAGGGGGTGCTTTTAATTAGGTTGAACAGCATGAAATTGCTGACATTGGATCATTCTTGACCTAGAAAAAAGGTAATCTCATAATACTTGACCTATTAAATATTGTGTTTTGATTTCAACAAAGCATTTAAAAAGCCTCCCCAAAATGAGATGATGAAGCTGGGTTTGCTGCTTTAGTCCTGGAGCATGAATAATGGCTCAGTGTCATCCTGACCTGAGTCTCTTGCTGAATAATAAACAAAAGTACCCTGACCTTGGTTCCAGCCTGTTCAATGTTTTCATCAATGTTTTGGATAAAGCTGAGCAAGGCAGACTTATTAAATTTAGTGGGAACATGAATTAAAAAGTATAATAAGAAGTTTAGACTGAAAAAGATCTCAACTAAGTGAATCTCAAGGCTGGAATTCAAAATTAAGTAAACAGCAATGGATGGAGGTTCCTGAAATTAGATTTGTTGAGTTCATCAGCCCTCATTGATAAATCTCTGCCATGCACTAGACACTGTTCTGGGCACAGTCCATATAGCAATGAACAAACCAAATAGGGCAGTGGTCCCCAACTTTTTGGCACCAGTAGCTGGTTTCATGGAAGACAATTTTTTCATGGACTGGGAGTGAGGGGTGGGGTGTTAGTTAGGAGTCTGGGTTACAAGTGTCAGAAGCCCCAACTCAAATTGTCTTAAACTAAGACGTTTATTGATTCATGTAATTAAAAAGTCCAGGGGTTGATCTAACTTTAGGCATCGTTGAATCCCGATGTTCCAACCATCTAGTTCTTTCCCTCCCTCCCTTTTGTTTTCCTTTATGTGGCTTACATCTGCCATCTAGAAGGGTGCCTGATAGGGTAGATATCTAAAAAAGACTGAACACATAAATGAATGAGCCTTCCAGCTTGGCAACTCCAGCTAAAGTCCATGTAGCCAAAGTCCTATATGGACCCCAGTTTGGTCCAACTTGGTCACGGGCTTAAATTTAAACTAATCACTGGCGACGGGGAGGATGGAACACATTGACTGATTAGGCTGGACTGACTGGGCCTGAGAGTGAGCAACACCTTGTCAATTTTATCTCTCCAGCCTTTCTGTAGGCTCCTTTAGGGAATGCCCTCTTACTGGCTTTTGTATCCCTCCATAGGGAATGGCATAGTACCAAGTGCGTAGTTTTTAGTCAACAAGTATTTGTTCTTTTCCTCTAACTAGAATGGCTCTTAATTAGCAAAGGTGCTAAAATAACTGAATTGTAGCATCTCCTTTGAAAATTGTGCAACAAAATATTTGAATGAATTCAGAACTTGATATATTGCTTCCAAATAATTCTCATGTGCATAAACATAAGTGTTAAGTAGAATTCTGAATTCATCCTAGTTACTATAGAAAGTTATCCTCTCAACTTTTTTGTGCAATTAAAAGACTAAAATTGAATGAATATTTTCTTCAAAAGGAATAATTTCCATGGAAAAGCTTATCTTTCCACTGGGGATATTAGTGGTGGGAAAAAAATCTGACTTCTATGCCTGGAGCAGAATCAAGGGATGATTTGATTAATTTTTAAATATTTTTTTCACTCAATATTTACCTCCTCTATAATCAGAACCCGACTTCAAGGGTGGCACTGCCCTCTTCATCAGTAGTTGGGCCGTGCCATATGAATGCCAGAAAATGGTACTGAAAATGAATTTGAGCAAATAAAGGGAACTTTACAAGTAGGCTCTTCTTTTTAAGTCCGTGAGGAGCTGACTTATCTCAAATGCTAGAATGTTTCAGTGATTTGGGCTGACAAGGATATCATGGGAAATATCCTGATACGAAGTACAGAGGAATGTTTTTCTAACAGAAAAAGGAAAAGATTCTTTTTCCTCAGAGAATCCTTCCATTTTGTATTTGAAACGGCCTTGCAATGACAGAACAGAATCACAATCTGTGTGGATCTCCTTTTCCTTCCAAATCTAATTTAACAGAAACTGATATATACCTACGTTTGATGTAAAATTAAATATATTTGTAGTATATGTATCCTACCTGATTACTATTTAGTTTCTTTAAACATGTTTTTCCCACATCATTATTATAGCGTTATCTCCTGAGAGATACTGTGTATAAGACATAATGATTAAAAAAACCCCAAAACCGTGAGACTGACACCTCAATTGAAAATAGCCCTGTCATTATTTTGTAGGCAGAGCTGGTATTAAGGTGTCTGAGAATCAATAAAGACTACCTTGATAAATATAACTATAGCATTCAGAATGAATAAGACTTTAAATGTCATTTTACTTGTGTATATATTTATCTTTTGTTAAATCTTGTCTTTCTCTGTCAGCATCTCAAACTGAGATCAGATAACTGCTGGAGGGAGTAAAAATGATGATCATGGTGTACTACAGTGCAACCGGAACCTGGTGGGAGAGTTTTGTGAGTGCTGTTTTATTTATATTCGGTATTTACATAATGGCCACAGATGTTACTGTTATTCTTACCTATCATGGCATATGACATTTGTGGTGGAGAGAATGTGTGTAATTAACTCCTTACAAATACTGTATTTTGCAGATAGATGGAAAAACCTACTTAATAGGTCTAGATATCTTATAATTTTCTATTCATAAAGTCTAATCTCGAAAAGCATCAGAACCAACCCCCACTACCAAATGAAATGAACAGGTTAAAAGACATGACCTGTGAAATCCTGCTGGTTTGACAAATAACCTTACCTTAAGGAAGAGAGAGATCTGGGAGATGAGCTGAAGGGATTGCTCGTTCAAACCTTCCACTTTTCTACCTGTAGCATTTTGTAAGTGCTATCAAATGATACTTTCCACTTGAGGAAGTCATACAAAATCTCTTCAAAAACCACTTGGGTATTCAAATAATTTTTCTAGCTTGGAATTTAAGCTATAAATGCAATAAGTGGAAAAGGGCAAATGGAACATTTTATAAGCTTGAACTTTTTTTTTAAGCTGGCCTCTCTCTAAGGGTTTTATTGTAACTCTAAACACTAGGTGCATCATAAAGAATTTTAGTAAATACAAAGCACTCTTTTGAACCATAGTTAAATTTTTGAATCATTCAGGTATCCACCTTTCTCATACAGTCAATAACCAACACATTGCCATCTGAAGCTTCAGTTATCTCATACTAAATTGTGCTAGACAATGAAAATTTAGTTGCTATTCTGTAACATTCCTCTTGTTTAGTAAGCTGTATTCATTTGTGGCTTTTGAATGTCAACCTGACAGATTTTGCATAATTTGTGTGCCTGTGAATCTTTTAGAAGGAAGGTTTGCTTTCCAGACATACTAACATTGATTGTCGCTATGTTGTGGCCAGAGAGATGCCAATGCATGCTTCTTAGAATTTCACCCAGTTTAGTTAGGGTCCTGGTTGAAAGAGTTTGGCTTGATTTATATGAAGACATTGTGGATGGTCCCTTGCAGATGTTATATGAGGGCAGTATAGGAAAGCCCTGCCCAGAAATCTCTCCCATTTTTAGGGTGCCTGAAATTCCACTTTATGATATTTACTACTCTTGGTTAAGCATTGTCTTCTTTGGTTAATCTTATTTTAAAACTATAAACCTTAGTATGAAGTAGTTTCCCTAATTGCATTTATTCTATGTTATAGAAATACATATTTTCTTGGTGGTATGATAGTCCTAAGTGAAGAAAAAGTATTAACTATATATAGAAAGAGTTTTATTGCCAGTAAATCAAAGTTTCTGCAAAATTTTTGATAATGGCCAATCTTGATGGGTGACAAAATCTTTTTCAGAAACACGGCTTTCTTTTTCCCCTTTGTTAAAAAAATTGACACATAATAATTGTATGTATTTATGGGGTATATAGTGATATTTCGATACACACAATGTGTAGTGACTGATCAGAGTGATTAGCATATCCATCACCTCAAACATTTACCATGTATTTGTGTTGGGAACATTCAAAACCCTCACTTCTAGCAATCTGAAATACATAATAAATTATTGTTAACTATAGTCACCCTACAGTGCTATAGAACACTATAACTTATTCCTCCTATCTGGCAGTAATTGTGTATCCTTTAACCAATGTCTCCCTATCTCCCCTTCCCACCTACCCTCCCCAGCCTCCAGTAACCACTATTCTACTCTGTACTTGTATGAGATTAACTCTCTCTTGTATGAGATCAACTTTTTTAGCTTCCACATAGAAGTGAGAATATGTAGTTATCTTTTCCAGTTACTTCCATTTCTAGTTAACCAATACAACAGGTTACAAAACAGTAAACACAAAACCATAATGATCCATTTTTGCAAAAAAAAAAAAAAAGAAAAGAAAGGAAAAAGAAAGCAGTTAACAAATATAGTACATTAAAACAGATTGATCAGGATCTGGAAGAATTAAAAAAATAAAATAAAACAGATTGAGCCCATTTTGTTTCTTCCATATAAAATCAAATAAAACCTCTTAATTACCTGGGGAAGATCACTTAGGCTTTGGATTAATGGTGATAGAAGTAACAATAATAGTGTAGTTAAACAATGTTGGTTTTTTTTTTTTAGGAATTAACACACTCTTTTAATTAGTTTTAAATATTTTTAAGGTTTAAAAAGCGTCTAAAGCCTATAATTTCTAGTTAGAAAACATTATCTGAATGAATACCCTAATGGCAAACCACTGGAAAATGTTTCGGCTGCATTTGGGGAAGAGGGGTAGGGGTTATCTTCAAAGCACCCCAGCTCTCTTGATGAGAAGGTCAGGGGTACATTGGTTTGTATTATCACAACATCCATTAGGTGATGTAGGTTGCTTTTCCTTCAGCCTGGGCTTTATTTGTCAGAAGGGCATCACGCTTGACCTCCAAATTTGGCTGATAATTTACTGATGAGATTCATAACCTTTGGGTTGCTCTGGTATTTTGACATAGTTGCTGGGTTCTGGGCCACAACCTGGAAGGCCATCATAACTTCTGGATCCTGCATGGCTGCAGGAACCTCTGGATCACTAAGAATTTCATTGAGTCCCAGCATTCCTGCCATTCCAGGCATGCCTCCTCCCATTCCAGGCATTTCCCCAGGAAAGCCACCTGGAAAAGAGCCCTACTGAGCTCATGATTGTTGTCTGGCTTCTTCCTCTCTCTGGGCTCTCTCATGCTCTAACCCTTTCTATTCTTTCTTTGATCTCTTGCTCTTCACGTTTTCGCTCATACTTTCTCCGATGTTCTGCAGTTTTCTGGGCCCTAGGTTGAACTTCTTTCAGCATTGCTCTAGCATCTTCATCATAATCCAGTTTACAGGCAAGGGCAAGATCGTGGGCTGCTTCTTCCCAATGGCTCAGAAGTCTGTGTGCTTTCCGTCTCCACTTGTAAGGCTGAGCTGAATCAGGATTTATTTCAATGGCTCTATCACAATCTCGGAGGGCAGCATTTGGCTTCTGTAATTGGATGAAGACACTGGCTCTCTTGGCACACAAAATGGCCAACCGAAGATTCAGCTCGATGGCATCTGTGAACATCGATGGCTTTCCGTAGTTCACCATCATTTAGGGCTTCAATGCTGCAACTTTCTTATCATTTGACTGATCTATCATCTCCTCGGTTATCTCTACATTTTCATCTCCCTTTTCTTGCGGGGCATCAGTGTGTGGCTCAGTCACACCTTCATTAACAATTTCTAGGTACTTTCCTCACTTGACGGTTCCTCTGTCTGTCTGGTTTCCTCTACTGTCTTACTATCTGTTTTTTCTTCCTTAATATTTTCTTCTGATTTAGCTTTCTGAGTAGCAGGTGGGACTTTATGCCCCCATGCTCGCCACCCACTCCCTCAGAAAGCGCATTTCCTCCGTGTGCAGAATGCTCGGATCCTGCTTACACATTTCACGAAGGCCCCAAACTCGCTCACTTTGCGGGGGTCCACGGTCAGGAGGTGGAGGACGCAGCTGAGGAGGCTGCAGTCCGATTCCAGGCCCGGGCACTGGCTCAGCATGATTATGTAGAAGGGGAACAGTGTTGTCAAAACATAACATTTCCGAAATAACTGAAAGCATGGATGTATTGGAAAATCTCTGTCTTTTGGAACTACCTAGTAGCCCAGTCACTCTACGACAGTAAATCAATTTTCTGGTAGAGAAAAGTTGATGAAGATAACATTAATTAGTGGTTTGACAGAGATGCCTGTGAACTGAGTTTTGAGGTACTGAGGGTTGACAATGCTGTTACCCCTGTTACCTACTGGCGTAGGTCCTGGCCCGGGGTGGTTGGAGGAGAATGACTAAGTGGACCCATGATGGGGGTTGGGAGGAGAGCAGAGTTGTGAGGTGGTGATGCCTGGAGGCCAGTTTGTAGAGACAAAGTCATTCCTAATGTTGGCTTTTATTGTTTGTACTATCTTGTGGATCCTTTAGAAAGGTGGAGGACAATTTCTCACCAATAAACTGATGACACACAGGCATCATTTGAAAAAAGGGCATCAGCTATGAAATGGAGTAACAATGCAAGTTAATATAAAAGCAACCATAGAATAGGAAATCTTAAAATATGTTTCCATTATTAAATAAATGTTGTGCCTCCTGTTGACTGACTCCGTTTTCACTGTGATTTGGGATCAGCTATGACTTCCTTTTCCCCAAACACCTGTTTTTGTTGATTATATGCCTAGAATAGACACCAGAGGGAAATGAACCAGAAGGTTTGTTGTCATTGTCTCTGGATAGAGGCATTATGGGTGATTTTTATTGTCTTTTTGCCCCTCTATTTTTTAAATTTTTTTGTGAACGTTACTCTTGTCGTATGAAAGCTAAAAGGCTATAAAAGTAATAGGGTGTTTTGCTCTCTGGACATGATGAACACACTGAACCTAATTCTGCCAGCCAAGGGGCTGCTTCCTTTGCACAATCTGGACTAGTTGTAAGGCAGAGTTACATTCTTCGTGAATGTGTCAAATACTTCTCCACTACTTTAATTGTTTCCCTGAAGAGTCGAAACTGTTAAAATTATCAAATGCTTAATTTACTTTAGGGAGTAATTTTCTTACCATGTAGGATTATATCAAACAAACATGTTTTAATTTGAATTAGAGAGCTGACTTATTTGTAAAAGGCCACCCCACTGATACTTTGATTTAGGATTTTAAAACTAATAAACAAACAAAGAAAATGTGAAAGGGGGAGAGGATTTTCATTATGTTAAGAAATATGGCTTTTGAAACAAATTAATAGAACTACTTTAGCTTTCAAAACTGTTTTAAAAGATTGCTTTTTGCTCACTGTTAATATACATGGCAGTGCAGTCTGTGAATTTTTAAAAATACAGATCAAAGAGATCAAAGTCTTATTCTTGCTTAGGCAAGATTATGCCAAATTATATCATATGCATGCACATATGAGAATATCTTTTAAATATTTTATTCGTAATTTATTTATATCTTGTTCAATTTTAGAAAAGGATTTGATGCAGCTTATAACCACTTCCTATTGAAGAAATGCAGTTGTTTTGCTTCTTTAAACAAAGCTGCAGTTAGCATATTCTTATTCATATACCAGAGCTTTTACTATTTTCTTTCTTAGCATAAATAACCAGAAGTAGGATTACTGGGTCAAATCATAGGCTTAATGGGTCACAGTTTTGACTAGTCCTATTCTCGTGAACAGAGTCTAAGAGTGTCTGTTTCTCCAAAGCTGACCATGCTGGCTGGGTGTTATTGCTCTTGTAAATTTGTACCAATCTGATCACTGAACAAGGGCATCTCACTTTTACTTAAATTGCATTTTCTTGACTAGTGGTGAGGGTCAACATCTCTCTGTGACTACTGGTCATTTAAATTTGTTCTTCTGCCACTTGCCTAGTCATAAATAGCTTTTGTACATTTTTGTTTGGATTTTTTTTCTTATCAATATCTAGGAGGCTTAAATATTTTATGAGTAATTACCTTTTGTTGGCCATCTGGATTGCAGTCTTTTTCACTGCATATCATTTAAGTTTTTTAATGGTTTCCTTTGCTAAATCAAACTGTTTAATTTTTATGTCATCGAATATTTTAATCTTTTCCTTTAAGGCTTTTAGATTTCCTGTCTAGCTTAGAAAGATCTCTACTCCCAGTTCATAAAAATGTTTTCCATATATATTTTTAAAATTTCAGGTTAATTAACTTTACATGTAAACATTAAATTCATTTAGAATTAATTTCTTAAGTGATATGTGGTGAAAGTCTACCTTTTTTTCTTCTAGATGTATAAGTAATTGTTTGAGCACCATTTATAAACAAATCACCTTTCCATTTACATTTAAATACTACCTTTATTCTGCTTTAGGTGTTTGTGTATACTGGAAGGGATAATTAAAATACAAACCTTGAATCCGTCCAGTTGACTAATGCAATTTAACGGTGAATAAGGCAAGCTTTTTTAACAATGTACATGGGTGCACAAGGACACATTCTCCCACTATCACACCACCACCTTCCTTCACTGATTGTTCTTGAAATTCATATAATATATGTGGTTCATGAATGAACCTTGTTCACTGGTTTTCATTCCTGTACTTTCTGAGTTGTAGCTAGTCCAGGAAGGATATTTTTTACTACTAGATATTTTTGGGCATAGTAGCCCATGTAGCATTTTAATCATAAATTTTTGTTGACAATATGAATTATAAACCACAAAATTCATTATCTAAGCACGTTAAGGAAGGGAGCTATTATGTATTTATTGTTTATGTATTTCTTTAATTTAGCTGTATCCAAGTTCATCAGATATATTATACATAATCAATTTGCTTTTGATTTAATATTATTTCATGATATATATTTATGGTGGTTCAAATAAGTAAAGTTGTATTGACAATCTTTCAAGATATATATATATACCAAAAGTCATGAGATTTTTTACACTGATAAATGTTTTCAAATGGCAGAACTCTTATTTAATGGAATATTCTCAATCTCCTCATTTAAGAAGTCAAATTGATTCGAGAGTGTATTTATACCACTGTAGCAATTGATTTAGTGCACTGCCATCCCACAGATTTATACATCACCCATGTAACTGGGTTAGAACCAGTCTTCAAAGAAATAATTCCAGACATTAAGTAGGTATATAAAGGATTTTTTTACTGTAACTTTAAAATCTTAATTTCTCCTTATTTTTCTTTATTTTAATTTTGAAGATAGCTAATAAAAGTTCATTAAATTATTTCTGGCTACTTATTTTAATGCCCAATAACTCAGGACTAAATGAGATGAAAAGAAATACACAGGGCTCAAAGTGAATGTAAAGGAGCGTAACTGGCTTCTAGCTTTTTCTGGCCTGAGGGTCAGTGGCATTTCTGAACAGGGAAGGAATTTTCTTACCCCAGCGTCCTTGTCATGAGGCCTTGTGGTAATCATCACTGCTGCCCCAACACAGGCCAGCCGTCCCCCCACTGGACACACCCCGGGGTCGTTCCTGTCTGTTATTATGAAGTAGGTGCTGCCACATTACTTGCTCTGGCCTGTGAAATCTGAATGGAAGTGCCGTGTTTACCTCTGGGCTCAGTATGGGAGCTGCGAGCCCTTGCACATTCCCACCCTCCTCCATTCGTGTCCTCTGCGGGTTCCCAGGGTGAGGGTGACGTGGAGAGGACTGCAGTGGACAGGGAGTGCGAATGGAAGCTGACTAAGCCTTTGCTGTGTGAGGACTTGTGCCGTTTGGAGGCTGTTCATTGTTACAACATTGTCTAGTTTATTTTTTTTTTTAGATAGAAGCCTGTTCTTGGTGCTGAGAAGCACCATCAAAGCACTTCTGAAAGGCAATAGGTACAGTTCAGTTTTCTTTCAAGCTCATATGACTTTTGGCTATAGTTGATTGATTACCTCACCCACAGCTGGGCCAGTTGAATTATTTTTCACAGGAATTTGGAGTAGGCACAGAGAGGAGTGCAATCCTTGGTTTGGCTGTATGGAGTGACAAGGGGCATTGACCTGGGGGCTGTTGGGCCCTTGTATGCAAGGAGAAGCAGAGGAGAACAGTTGCAGAGAAAGCAGAGAGAAGCACAATGTGGAGGGTGGCAGGCCCAAGACACTTGGGTGGGAGAGGAGGAGGGAGAGGGAGAAGGAGGGAAGGAGAGGGGAGAGGGAGGGAGGACTGCTGCTTTGGTTCCTGACTGCTGTCTAGTTTCTGGGCTTCATCCTTCCCAAAGACTCTGTGAGAAAGGTGTGTTGTAGCAAATCCTCCTCCCCTCCCCTTTCCCCTCTTAAGATGGTTTAGAAATGGGCTCCTGTTATTTAAACCCAAACATCCTTGATTAAGGCAGTATCCATCACACCCTTCTGACAATATGCCTAGGAAGACTGAAGGCAACAATTTCCATTTCCATCTGTGGGTCTGCCTTTGCCTTGGAATAAGGGTGTGCAACTTTACCATAGGGCCACCTGGCAGAATGCCCTAATAAGTCTGTCAATTATGAAACCAAAACTAACATAATCTCTTGATCATCTGATTGGTGAGGAAAACAGGGTGTGGCCAATGCAGTACAATGGCGAGTCTGTTGAATTTTGCTTTCTCAACCAATGATGTCTGAGAAAATCTGAGCATAAAACATCAAAAACCACAGAATATTATTATACACTAATTTTGGAAGACTCCCATTGCATACAGGCTTCTCGTTAAAGGGAAAGAGATGTATACCACATCTAACTTAGAACCATATGGTAGTGGACTCCTTTCTGATACTGTGGGAAAGTTTGGGGATCAGGCAGAAAGGGCCTTGCTACCGTCAAGGCTAATTTATAGTAAGAAAGACTAGAGAGGAATAGAGAAGAGTATACATCATTCAAATTATGAAATAAATGAGAATATTTCCTGCTCAGTGATGACCCACCCAAATCCCAATTGCATCTTTGATGTTTTCACAGAACAGGCAAAAATGTGAAGGCTTTCCAGCAGGGTTTTAATAAAACTAAAAGTGTATTTACATTAAGGTGCCTAATTGCCAAATAGTGTCTTGGGGCCA